AGGCAGGCTTTGATTATCCATGCTAGCCATGGACAGAAGGAGAGAGGAAGTGTGCTCTGTCTTGCCATTCCTTCTCCAAGTTTAGGCCCTTGGCTATGACCTCAATGGTGTATAGAAAGACAGTAGGACCAGCAATACAAATCAGTTTTGCTGGAGGTTCTGACCGAATGCTCTTACTTTTTTTATGCTGGAAACATGTGCTCTGAACATAATGTTCCTTATTTATTTGGTGAACTATTTTGGAGGAGCTGAGACGAGGGTCTGTCTCCAAGCGTGTGCTCTCAACATTTTTACCTTGCTTTCTGTAAGCATATGGTAAATATTGTGGTAGGTATTCCTGTTGGGTCTTCTCCCTGGACTCACCCCTGGCCCCACAACTAACTAGTGTGTGTCTTGAGGTCAGCCAATTACCCTGTCTCCTCAGGTGCAAAATGAAGAAATAGAAAACACACATTCTTGTGTTCTACTAATGATTAAATGAGAACATTGTGATAACATTTATTGAATGTGTATGCTATGCCCTTGTCTGAGTATTTGTCTAAGTAGTTTATGTGTTCTAAATATGAATATGTATTAACTTACAATCACCTGTAAAGTAGATCTCTTAATTCCCTGTTGACAGATGAGGATGCTGAGACACGTAGAATGGTTAAAGTAATTCTTCCAAGGTCAAGTTTGGCTTCATGCCTGTGCTCAAAACACTACGTGTCAGGCCTTTTTGTTGAATGCATGTGGTAAATAATAGTGTTTGCTCCTCTTCCAAGCTTCCTCTTTCAATTTCTAATCTGAACTAGGTATGCCATGGCAACAGCACCATGGGGTTCATCGATAGGTATTTACTAAATACTCACTGTTAGATTAATTGATCAAACGGAGTGCTAAGAGTCTGTACAGTTCTGTGTAGTCATGGATGCATATCATATTGTGTCTATTGACACTTCACCTGCAGAAAACCCTTAGTGACTCTACCTGGCCCCCTTAGCATTCAAGGCTCTACAGTGATCTAGCGCCGGATGCCCTTTTCCAACCTCACTGTATACTCTGCTGTTTACACAAACCTTGCTAGTGTTTAAGCTCAGTTAAGGATGGGACTTATTTTATCATCTTTTTCTTTGTATGTATACTACTTAGTGGGAATCTGAATAATATCAGTTGAATGGGCGAATGAATATCGCTCAGCCATCATGAGCTGCCACGTTGTTTGTATTGTTCATATATACGCCACCTGAAAGCAGGCACTAACACTCCATGGCTCTGATGGTTTCCTTTGTTGACAGCCCCAACCCCCATGGTCCCATGTCCTAGTCCTGACACCAATTAGCCTCTACTAGGTGTGTTAAACTTCACAAACAACTTCAGCAGCATCATCTTATCTTTTATTAAAATGATCCTGCTAGGCTGCCATGAATTGGGCTTCGGTTTTTGTTGTCTTTCTTATAATGCTGATGAATATTCATAGATTTGTCCACACTCGCATTTCACTCACCTCATTAGATTTTGCTAATTTGCACATTAAGGAAAGAAAACCCTACTTAAATGTCATGTTAATATACGAGTGGAGGTTTAAAGAATACTACTGACTAGTTTAACTTAACATTGTATGTGAAGGGGGCCCATTTTAATGCTTAAAACGTGTTTTTCCTACCATATACACATGTTTTTCTTCCAATGTATGAAAGAGAAAGGAACTAAGATTTATTTAGCACCTACTGGTCCTAGCACTGTGGTAATAACTTTTATTTGTTATTGCACTTGATCTTCCAAACAATCTTGGAAAGGAATATAGCATGATAAGAGCCATGCTTTGATGTTAGAAAGACGTAGGTGTGAGTCTGGCCCCAACCCACCCACTGCGTGATCTTGGGGAAGTTCCTTAATGATGCTGGCAGGCCAGGTCCAGGGACCCAGAGAGGGTCCTTCAGGACCAGCCCAGAGGGTCTTTGGCTGTAGGATGGAAATCAAATGTGAGCCAGCAGGAGGTGAGAGCAGTGTTTATTGAAGATATAGAGTGAACAGATATAGATGGAGTGTCCAGGAGACTTGGAAAGAAAAAGAACATGAGTTTTGTCTTTGTTCAGGGTCTGGGGGTTTTTATTGAGGTCAGTGGTCTGGTGTACGTGCCCTCAGGCATCCAGGAACTGGTTAAAACAAAAATGAGAGCCCAGGTGTCATTCCTTGAAGCCAGGGGTCCTTGGTGTCAAGATGTCTGGAATACGCATGTGATAGCTTCGACTGGTCATCCTCACCTGGTCTTTCCTTAGGTGTGATCTATTCTAGAGAAATCATTAACTCCTGGTCCCTTACAAGGAGGACATATGCTGTATGCATCCTGAGGCATGTGTAAAGTGGGGTGGGGTGCAGGTCTTATCAAGAATAGAAGGAGGAAAAGGAGCACAAAGCAGATTTCTATGGAATCCTTTAGTTTCCCTGTCTCATTCATCTACCTAAATTTAAGTTTTCTTATCTGTAAACAGATATAATGACATCCTATGTTTGGTATTTGAGGTAAGATTTTGTTGTCTTCTTCCCTATACACAAGCAGTAGCCAAATGGGAACCCAAGTGTTGGTTTATTAATGGCTGGGCAAGCACTTCAAAACCACTCAAATGTAGGACTTCTTCAGTGAAATGTGTTGGCCCATGAGGCCAAGCCCTGGAAGGCTGAGTGAGGCTACCCATTCGCACTTTCCTAAAATTGGAGACAGTAGAGGACCTGGACCAGGCTTCTAATTGGTCACATAAACAAGTGACTGGGCTCAAGAGCAGACGTTGAGCTGCGTCTCTCCCAAAAGCCAGGCCCCGTCTAGGTCAGATTACTGCCTGAGAGCAGATAGTTCAAGTGTGACCCCCTGGGCATGACACCAGGCAGAGGAAGATGGCAGAAGGCATGCCAAGCGTGGGCAATGACTTGAAGGCACAGTAACCCACCCAGTAGGAAACAGGGCAGGAGGAAGCTGATCTCTGTGGACTGGTTTCCATGGAATGAGGCACATACTTGAGCTAAAGGTAGCAAGGCCATCCCTAGGCCTAGCCTAACAATAACAATAAGATCAGTAAGAAAAAACAGACTCTTACCTTATAGGGCTTTAAATGGGATTAAGTAAGATTATGTGTATAAAGTACCCAGCATGTACACATTGTGCAAGCACCAATGACCACTATCCCCTGTAAGGAGAAGCAATTTTTTATTAAGTAAGTATTGTCATCAAGACCATTGCATAGATGAGGAATGGAAGGCTCAGAGACATGAATTCTGGTCTGGTATAAAAACCACCACCACCAAGAACATGACAAACAACTAGAATTTTACCTTGTTTTAGATTTAGAAAAAGCATTTTCTCTAAAGCTCTGTAAATGAGAGAAAATAATCAGTCTATTTCCTGGGAGTCCAAAAATTACCTTAAGCTTTTGTAGCAGGTGAACTCAGGACTGGACTTGAAGGATGAGGAACATGCTAATGAATATTTACATCTAATGCCATTAGCCATAGATACCATTTGGAGACCATCACTACCTCTTACATTTCCCGTGTAGTATGACTTCAAGCGGTGACCTCAAAATAGATCAACAACTCTGACATACATACAAAATTCAGAGATAGGTAGTTATACTTCAGACTGGACAAGGTCTTGTAGAAAAACAATTTGATAAAGTCCTTATCTCTTTATATTGACTATGAGGAAACAGGTTCTACAAATTTGACTTTACTGGAGATTGAGGTTTTTTGTTTAGTATGCCAGTAGTAAATATTCTGTATTTCTCAGTTTTCTGATTAGCAGAGGGATAAAAAAAGCAATTTAATCTAGGGCAACTGAGTAAACAATGTATTTTATTTTATTTTTTAAAAGATTATTTATTTATTTATTTATTTATTTATTTATTTGTTTGTTTGTTTGTTTATGTGTGTATGTGAGAGAGGGAGAGCACAAGCAGGAGGGGCGGAGGGAGAGAGAATCTCAAGCAGACTCCGTGCTGAGCACAGAGCCTGACGTGGGGCTTGATCTCACCATCCTGAGATCATGACCTGAGCCGAAACCAAGAGTTGGATGCTTAACTGACTATGCCATCCAGGTGCCTCAATAAACAATGTCTTTTAGATTTAAATGTTTGTCCATGTTTTCCCCAAATTGAAGCTTATTTTATTCTTGAAAACATATTCAAATTTCTGATTTCATGTTTTCCTTTGAAGAGTTATATCCGTCTGGATTGTCTAGGGAATATCACAGTGATGATCCTAAATCTCAGTGGCTTGAAACAACAAGGTCATAATTTTCACTCAGCTACATACATCATCATGGGATACTTGGCTCCTCTTGATCCTCATTCATAGACCCAGGCCAAGAGAATTTCCATCTCTGTACTTCTATGATTGCAGAAGTAGGGAGAAAAGAATTGCCTTTTATTACTTCTATAGGAAAGTGAGACATGTCATTTTCCCTCACATTTCATTGTCCAATGAAAGTCACATGTCCATGACTGACTCCAAAGAGCTCAGAGCAGTGCACTCCTACCATTTGATCAAAAGGCAGCCAGCCAGAAAATACTTGTGAAATCACTGCTGACCACTAGAAGAGGTGTCTTATTATTCCTATTTCCTATCAAGGTCACAAAAGTAGTATGTGGCAGAGGGCAATTATGAACCTAAGTTAACCCCTAAGACTTATGTGTCTTACATAATATTATGCTATAGTGTAAGAGTATGTAAAAATAAGAAAATTGCCCTCTAACTTAAATTCAGCCTACTAAAAGTAAGTGAGCCCACCAAACACTGTTTCTCCTAAGGGACAAAACAAGTATGTTTGCTTTTGTGAAGGACTAAAAAGTAAGGTCTTGGAAGGAATGAGAGTGAGGGGGATAGAAAGAGGATAAATGGATAGGGTACAGAAGAGGTATTTAAATGAATTGCCAAAAAATATTGCCCTTTGTCACATATAGGTCCCTGCTCCAGCATTATTTTAGAATATTGATAAGAAAAGCTGTTTGTTTTTTTCCCCTCTGTAGGAGAATATCAACATTGATGAAGCCTCCAGATGCCTGGTGAAACATATACTTGCAAACGAGTGTGACCTAATGGAGTCCATTGAGCCGGACATCGTGAAGCCCCATCTCACGTCGCCCAAGATTGTCAGCTGCTCCAGCTGTGCCAAATCCTAGTAGGCTTCTTTGCTGGCATCTGACAGAAATAATCCCATTATCTCATGTCTCAATTCTTACCAATTTGAGTAAATGTCAGGATAGGGATACACGTGTGGCAAGCCAAAGATCTATGCTGGTACCTTTCCTTTAAGAGAGAAAAATAGCAAATGTTCTTTTTTATGTTTTTCCCAGCATCAGCACAGTGTTTACAGGCTTGTTAAATATTTAGTCTGTTACAAAATTCTGTCTTGTAGCCAACCACAGTTCTGCAGGGCCAGCATTGGCCCTGTTACTTGCTTCTTGAAATCAGCCAAGGCCTCAGGTCTTAAAGAGAAAGGGGAGAGGAGCAGACTAGCTGTCAAGTTAAGCCCTGGCTTTCACTTTGCTCCCTGGTGCCTTTGTCCAGATTTCAATACATTCTTTGCTGGGCTGACAGGCCTATTAAGTAGAAACAGTTTTTTCTCCAGAGATGACGTCCATTTTCAACAGACCGAAGAGTCATCTCCTGATTTAGCCCTTCAGAGTCATGTACACAGGTTTCCTGTGTTTTTGTGGCTTTTATTGTCACTCTCCATGCCCTAAATGTTGGCTTAACTGAAATCTGTATGAAAAGACCTGCCTCCCTATGTGCCTTTCTATTAGCTTTCTCTGACTCAAGCTGTGGGACTCTTCTGTTCATGTAATATATATTATATATATTTCCACAAGTGGAAAATAAAACATTAAAAGATGTTGTTTCCCTATTTCTGAAAAGGCTGTGTCTTAGTATTATGATTTTTTCTTTGACTGTGTATCCATGGTTCTCAAGACCCATTTCTAAAATTTTGTTTCAGAAAGGGGATGAGAAACATACACTTAAAGGAACTTCTGGGCACTATTATACTGAGATGAGTCTGTCTATTGTTCATATCAGCATTTAGGCCAAGCAGTGTATCTATATTTTCTTGGTTAAACAGAAGGATATATTATCATATCTTCTGGTCAAGAAAGTACCACACCCATTGACATGCAAAGAAATGACTAAAATATGCATGGTAATATTTTGGTTTACACAATGGTTATGGTGCTGAGATGCTGTGGGTAGCTACTACTTTTTAATGGCATTGAATGGCAGCATTGAGGGGCGCCTGGGTGGCTCAGTCATTAAGTGCCTGCCTTTGGCTCAGGTCGTGATCCCAGGGTCCTGTGATAAGCCCCACATCGGGCTCCCTGCTCCGTGGGAAGCCTGCTTCTCCCTCTCCCTCTGTTGCTCCCCCTGCTTGTGTTCCCTCTCTCGCTGTCTCTCTCACTGTCAAATAAATAAAAAAATTAAAAATCTTTAAAAAGAAAAAAAAAGTCCCCAGTGGGAATAAGCCCCTGGTTCTCACAGGGGAAACCTTCCATCTGACTCATCCTGTACGGGCTTCCTTTTCTTTTTTCCTCACTTCCTCTACTGGTCCTTCCTGGGTTCACATCTCAAATAAACTACTTTCACTCAAATCCTTGTTTCAGTGTCTTATGGGGGAGCCCAAACCCAGCCTAATTTAGCTGGGACAAAGATGGCCTAAGAAGCAGATTCTCAACACCAGCATCTTGAACTGAATCATTCAGCACCCAAGTGGTAGCAAGGACCCCCTTGCTGGTAAACAATGAGGTGGAACTAATCCCTAGCAAACTGTAGCACCATAATTACTAAGACTGTCATCAGGTGGATTGGGATAGAATATAGATGGAAAGAAAGTCTATTGCTCTTGTGTTCAAAAGACATGAGATTGTAGAGTCATTTAACTTCCAGAAACTCTGCAGGAGGAAACCTTATAGGCTTGAGTCATGATCTTCCTTTCCTTCAGCTACAGGATAGAGAGGATGGCTGCTGAAAATCAGGCCTAAGATTTGATTTTAGGAGAAACAGACTTTTAAAGGAGACTGACTTCATGGAGCTAGCAAGTCTCCTCCACTAAAATCAGAATTCTTGCAGGAAAGGAGTCAGACACTGCAATATAGAAGGAGATATTTGGATAGATGCTCTTAGGAGTCTTGACCCCAAAGATTCTTCTGAAACTGTGGTCCAGAAAAATAGGCCCTTACCCTTTCCTAGGGGAGAACAGCTACTTGCCATATCAATGCTCCACCTGAGTAGGATGTTTTATAAAGTGATGCTTTTCCTTCTCAAGTTCTGCCCTCATTGCTTTTAGACAAATAACTAAAATCAAGTCTCAGTATGAACTGAGTAGAAAAGTATCAAAGTTGTGTACTGCAGGATGAAATGGATTATTAATCAAATGAACTACAGAGCCTGGCTAATAAGTACTGGTAGGAATCTGGAGAATGTTCCTGATTTGGTCTTGAGATGCAATCAGGGAGGACAGAATGTAGCACCAGATGATAGATAATCTATTTCTATGAGAGCACTCTTTAATGAGTTAATTTTTAACATTCTGGCAAGTGAACTTGGAGATGATCCGAGTGTGCTACTAGAATAGCTCTTTGAAGCTTGGAAACAATGTTGGCCTAGAATAAATGATGTGGAGATGCCAGAACTACCTTGGCAAAGTATTAAAGGAGAGTTCCAAGGTCTCAGAGAGGTGGGCATATTATAATGTATTTATTTTGTGATGTCAGAGAAACTACCAGCTGATTATGTTCCTCAGGAAAGCCCAAAGACACTCCCTTCATGAATACAATAAGAAGTGTCCCCACAAAGGGATACCAGCATCAATGAGAAGCTCCGTGGTGGCTCTTCTCTGTACCAGATTTGAGATTGTAAATATGCTGTGTTTCACTGGGAATGACACCAACATGGTTAAGATTCACTATGTGGTACTCCTTTGACATGAAGTTAGTAGATTTAGTGCTGGGTCCTGGAGAGCTACCATCAAAGCTGTGAGTGGGAGTGAAGCCTCCTACTCTCACCTTAAATAACCAACGTAAGAAAGCGAGCTTTCCCTCATTACAACTCCAGGTTCTGCAGTGTCAGAGGTCTTGATAATTCTACCAGGAGACACTGTAAAGATTGGGCTAAATCTATAGCTTCAGCTGCTGCCTGATTATTTTTGCCTCCTCGTGCCTACAGGCCTGTTGTTGGAGAAGGTGTTACAACACAGGCAGGGCTAATTCATCCTGATTACCAAGAGGATAGGGTTGCTGCTAAATAATGAATGGGGAGGGATGAGCCTGGAAATCATGGGACTCATTGGGGTGCTTCTTGATGCTTCCATGCCTGGTGAGAACTGACAGCAATTGCGGTGATAACATCTTGATGAGGACATATAACCAGGGACTCATACTCTCAGGAATAAAACTGAGTTATTGCCCCACACAGGACCCTAGCCTAGGAGTGGGTTGGTCAGGGGAATGGAAGTGGTAAAGGAGGGAAATGCTGAGTATCAATTATCATCTCAGGAATCCTAACTACAGCAGTGGAGATTGTACCTTGTCCTACCAAGCCTTTGTTATAAGTTCTCTATTTCTCTCTCACGCGCGGAATTATGACCAAACTTCCCTAAAAAATCAGTGAAAGGACAGACTGAACTTAACATGCAGCATAAGTGAATCTGAGATGCAAGGCATGGACTTGGTAGACAATAGAGAGGAAATGCCCATGTCCCCTCAGCACGTGGCTTCCAATTGTAATCCCCTGCAACTCTACCAGAGAGCATTCTCCGGATGCATGGGGTGTATTTGTCTTGCATGCTGGACAGACCAGAGTGCCACAGAGTTAGCACCTCCACGAGCAGTCTCATCTGAGGCTGACAAACAGAGAGGTAAGACCTTAAGAGTCCTCCCCTCCTCAGGTGAGATAAATCTGAGGTTTACTCTATGAGCTCTCAGAGGTCCCCACTGGGATTGAGGCAAAGTTTCACACAGTGGTGACTTGCTCATTATCACAACATTTTTGTTTTCCTTTCCTGTCCTGCTTCTCTACTCCTCTGCCAGTGGTTCCAAGGATCATCTCCCAATTAAGAGATTCTCATTTTTAAAAACATTTTATTTATTTATTTATTTGAGAGAGAGAGAGTGCAAGTAGAGAGAGGGAGAGGGACAAGCAGACTCCACACTGACCACAGAGCCCAACGCGGGGCTGGATCTCACCTCCCTGAGATCATGACCTGAGCCGAAATCAAGAGTCGGTCGCTTAACTGACTGAGCCACCCAGGTGCCCCAACGGTTTTTCATTTTTTTTTTTT